GGTTGTTCCTGGAGATTGAGTCTTGTCTCATCTAAGGATGTGACCAAAGCTATGTTGGTGGGGTTGGGATGGAGCCGTGGGTCCTTGGGAGAAGTCCTGAGTGAGGACTGGAAGTGCTAAAATGGAAACCTGCTTGTCACCAGGGTATCCTGTGTACACACTTGGGGCCACTAGGGGGTGCTAGAAGCCAACTCAAGGTCCCTCCCTCCCTCCCTCCCTCCTGACACTTGCAGTATAGTCTAGCCTCAAGCTCATGAACCTCCTGCCTCAGTCTCCCCAAATGCTTAGGTTATAGGATGTGCCACCATACCCAGCTCAGGATGGTTTTTAAATAGTATCCAGTGAAGAAAAAAAAAAGTCTGTAGAATAATATGTATGTATGTAAATTTAAAGCATACACATACAACTGGATCCAAGATCCATTGGATCCATACTCCCAGCTTGATGCCTATTTAAAAAAAATAAACCAGCCAGGGAGTGCGCGCGCGTGCACACACACACACACACACACACACACACACACTAATACTAAATAGAATTTTTAAAAAAATTTAAGGGCTGAGTGTGATCCCAGCACTCAGGAGGCAGAGGCAGGTGGAGCTCTGTGAGATCAAGGCCAGCTTGGTCTGCTTAGCAAGTGCCAGGCCAGCTGGGGCTAAAGGGAGACCCTGTCTCAAAAAGAACAAAAATAAAAAATAAAAAAAGAAACACATGTATTCTATCTGTAGTCAAATTCTTAAAGACAGAGAGTAGAGGTGTGGTTTCCAGAGATAGAAGGAGAGAGATGAAGACTTCGTGTTTGATGGGGATATAATAAAGGCCACAGAATCGTGTGCAGTAAAAATGGTTCAAACAGCACATTTAATGTTATGTACATTTTTACCACCATACTTTTTAAAGACACATTTCAAAAGACATACCATGGAGACCATAGAGGGCTGGGGAAAGAGTGTGGGGCAGAGGACAACAGGGATTGGGGACAAAGGAGATAAACTTTGAACTATCCCTCACCAAGGTGGATGCTGATATCACTCCCACAGAACCAAAGGTGGGGCCTGGTGCAGCTCGCAGCACACAGTTGGACTTCTAGTCAGCCTTCCCATGTGTGACTGCTTCCGATGGCTTGAGTGAATTTGTCAAGGAGGGCAAAGGCAGACCCTGGAAGCCTTCCCTGGTGTAGTGCCCTCCCTGTGGAATTCCTCGTGTGAGTGAGGGTGGATGGAGTTGTGTGTTGAAGAACTCCTTACATGCTTCCCTCTCCTGGTGCCGTCTCAGCAACTGCCCAGTCAGTATGGCTGACCTAGTGTCCTGTAGCTCTGCACCCAGAATGAATTTCTTTCTGGTTTTTGTTTGGGGCAGTCTTGGGTCCAAAAGTCATTAAATACACCCTCTAACCCATTGTTTCCCATAAAACAGAGGGTGGTGAATCTCTGTAAGATTGAGGCCAGCTTGGTCTATGTAGCCAGTTCTAGGCCATCTGTGGCTATAGGGCGATCTTGTCTCAAAAAGATCAAAAGCACATGCCTATAATCCTATCTCAGGAGGCAGAGGCAGGCAGATCTTCATGAGTTCCAGGGCAGCTGGTCTACATAGCAAGACCGTGTCTCAAGAAATAATAATAACGTGCTGAAGAGACGGCTCGGTGGTTAAGGCCATGTACTGCTCTTGCAGAGGACCCGAGTTCAATTTCTGGCACTTACATTGGTTATCTCACATCTCTGCCTATAACTCCAGCTCCAGAGGAATCTGATACTTCTGGCCTCTGCAGGCACCTGCAGTCATGTGCAAAACCCCACATGCAGACACACACACACACGCACACACACACACAATTTTAAAAATAAAATTTTAAATGAACTGTTAGAAAGAAAGAAAGAAAGAAAGAAAGAAAGAAAGAAGAAAGAAAGAAAAAGCCTCATGGGTCCCTTTAAGTCAGCTCTCTGTAAAAACACAACTTTAATAAACAAAAGATTGTGAGGCAAGTAACAAGGCTTAGGGGCTAAAGACATGGCTTAGTGGTTAAGTGCACTTACTGCTCTTCCAGACTTTGGTTCCCAGCACCCACACTGGGTGGCTCACAACTACCTGTAACCCCAGCTCCAGGGGATCTGACGCCCTCTTCTGGCCTCCCTGGGCACTACACATATAGGTGCACTTACATACTTAAAATAAAAATAAAATAATTAAAACCTACAAATGAAACAGCAATTTTAAGGTGCAAGTCAGAGGAGAGGTCTGGGTACTCTTTGGAAGGGAGGCTGGCAAAATAAAGAGGCCTATGTGGGGAGGAGCCTGGTGTCTGGCACAGGCACACTTGAGGGAAGTGGAAAAGTGCTGGTGTTCTTTGTGGGTTTTGTTTGCTTGTTTTGTTTTTGTTTTTGCAGAGCTGGGGGAGGAACCCAGAGCCTTGAACATACTAGGCAAATGTTCTACCACTGAGCCATACCCTCAGCCCGATGCCTTTTAATGCTATGCCTGGTGCCCAGGAAGTGTCCTTTGATCCCTTAAATAAGTCTCATAGACTAGGAAGGCTGTTGGAGACATGGAGATCCTGTTGGGAGCTGGAGGAGGACTGTGTGTCTGGGGAGTCTGTGGGGGCCAGGGAGGTTGGACTCAGCTTACTGGTAAGAAGGTCCCATACTGCCCTGGGAAGGATATTCCTTTTGTGGTTAAGCTGCTAAGTTCTTTGAGGGCTCTGGACTCTGGGCTCTACCTGCCTAGCAGTTTGGTGTGGTAGGACTTCACACAGACCTACATTAATCACTTTCCAGCTCAAAAGACCTGACCTTGGCATTGTTATAATGCCCACCTCACATGATTCTTATGATAGAATGAGATGATGGGGATCTGTGTGACTCTCTCTCAAAGCTTGGCACATAGTAGGTGCACAGTGATGGCACCTCTCACTATTTCACACATCTTGGACTTAGGGCAGCAGCAAATAATCAAGCCATCTCCCATATGCTGGCTTTCAGCCTTTTGGTCACAGTATGGCTGCTGCAAAGAAGACATTGCATCAGCATCTCTGTTCTTTTTATCCCACACCAAAGCTTTCCCAGACTTTTCATGCGTCTGGTTGGCCAGCTCCGATCACATGGCTGCCCAGAGCTGCAAGGGAGGCTAGGAAAATGACTGGGAGAGAAGATGGTCATGACTTAAGCCAGGTGATTTCCTGCCATGTTCCTCGTTTCTGTCAGTGGGGGAGCAGCATGGAATGGCTGCTGACCACTGTGGTGTCAGGACAGAAGGGGACAGGGAAGGGGCCTGAGGCAGACTTGCTCTGCAAAGAAGCATGAGTACAGAACAGAAACTTCTAGACGTGACACCTAGCATCCCATCTCCTTACTCCATGTGTCTCCATGCTCAAGTTCCTGTTTTAGAAATACTTCCTCTAGTTCTTTGGGGCAACAAATTCTGCTTCTCAATTTTTAGGTTTTCCTCTGACCCCAGAACCTGGGGGAGGGCATCCTTGGGGCCACTAGAGAGGCAGAAAGGAAAAGTCTGAGTTCCAGGCCAAGCCCTGTACCTGCCCAGTATGGGGGCCAGTCATGGAGACTTCCTGGAAGTGGCTTTGTTCATTTAACACACAGTCTTCCTCTACTGCTGGACTTAGGATGGGTCCTGGAGAATTAGACAGATGGCTGGAGCTGCCAGTCAGACCAGCTTCCCAGCATCAGGGAGGCCATGTAAGGTTACAGGCTGGCTGGTTCAGCAGCCAGAGCCTTTCATTATTTTTTATGTGTGTGTGTGTGTGTGTGTGTGTGTGTGTGTGTGTGTATCTGTGGTGTACATGCGTGTGTGTGTGTGTGTGTACCAACATGCAGTGCATATGTGTGTGGGGGATGGGGAGGCAGAGTATCTTCCTACTCTACTCTCCAATTTTATCACTGAGGCAGGGTCTCTCACTGAACCTCTGATTTGGCTAATCTAGATAGCTAGTCCGGGGGATCCCCTGTATCCACCTCCTCAGTGCTGGGTTTACAGGCCACCAGCCTGGCTTTTATGTGGATTATAGGGATCTGAACCCTGCTTCTCACACTTGCAAGGCAAGCACTTCATCCACTGAGCCATTTCTTAAGCCCCAGGGCCCTCATTTTAAACTGGAAATGTTTTAAATGGCTCAAATAGCACTCTTTATTTCATGATATAGAGAAGGCTGGTCCAGGGTGGCTAGGGGCAGAGTGCTTAGCCTATTGTCTGAGCCCCAACCCATGAATCCCCCCACCCCAGGCCTAGCAAGAAAGTACAGCTAGCTGAGAAAGAGGTGGCTGCAGCTCCTGAGCCCCCGAGCTCCCTCTGCCCTGTCCCCTGCTTGTCCACTTGCCGAGTTCCTCCCAGGTCTGGAGACCATGGTTCCTGGAGGCTTATTCTCAGACATGACATCACTGTAGATGGTGGTATTTGAAAATGTTCTCTTTGTTCTGTCTCTTGTGGAAACTCTGATCTCTAACCCTTCCTTGGCCCCTAACCCATCTAAACCCAGCTAAAACAGCTTCATGGCCAACCTTATCACCCTGTGCCATTATTGTTTGTGTGTGTAGACTTTGAGCCTGCTGGAGTATAGGGGACGTAGAATGGGAAAAACCTATTTCCAGTATGTGACACTGAGCTTGGCACAGGATGCATGCTCAGGAGGTGGGGGATGAGTAAAAGAAGGAATGAATGAGTGAGTGAACGAGTGAATGAGGTGGGAGGGCATGCCAGCATAGAGACTTAGTAGGGCTGAAGTGTTGTCATGGTTCTAAATGAATCTGTTGAGTTACAAGGTGAGTGTCCTTTAACCAGGATACTTTTCATGATGGTGCTGGTCCTGACTGACCCTGCTCTGGGACCAGAACAGTTCAGCAGGCACTGGGAATGCTGGTCACGTGCTCACACATCCCTTCTGAGGGAAGGTGATGTTTTCTGGATTGTGCCACTGGTCCTTCAGAGGGCATCAACTTGGTGAGCCCCACCAGGTGCTTTTGAAATCATCTCAGTGTTTCATTTTTCTCTTTCAGAGTGAAACATCTTTCAACCTAATATCAGAAAAATGTGACATTCTATCCATTCTTCGGAATCATCCTGAAAACAGGATTTACCAGAGGAAAATCCAGGTGGGGCAGAGGGTAGAGAGAAGAAGAGCCAAAATGAAGGGGGTGGAGTTGAGAGTAAAGAATGGGGTGCCCTTTTGAAGAAGGAGCCTGGGCCAGGTTCCTGGAGAAAGGGAAACAGTATTCCCACGTTTGGTGTTTTTCTTAGGAAGAAATCCTTTCCTTGTGGGAAACGCCTACATCTTTTTATTTTATTTTATTAATTTTATTTTATTATTTTATATTTAATTTAATTTTATATTTTATGTTATTTTTGAGACAAGACCTCCCTGTAGCCCTGGTAGGCCTGGAACACTCTATGTAGACCAGGCTGGCCTCCATCTCACAGAGATCTGCCTGCCTCTGCCTCTAGAGTGCTGGGACCAAAGGTGTGTGCCACCATGTCTGGTTCCCTACATCTTCTAAAAGCTAAGCACTATTCTAAGTGATTGATTTTCTTGCTAAGACTTCAGTACAATTATGTGGCAAGTACTTCTATCAGCCCCATTTCACAGCTGAGCAAACAGGGTCTGAAGCCTCATGGTCTGATCTCAGAAGCTGCCTTCATCACTGCTGCTATACTTGGGAACCTCTCAGGACAGGGATCACTATAGGGCTGTAGGGGTCACTTTTCTAGGCTGTACGTGGCAGAACAAGCTTGCTCTGTGCTGACAATGTCGGTCAGTCTTCCAAATACTACTCCAAGGTCCCCATAGACACAACACCCTGCTAGGCCATGACATTCTGAGAGATCCCTCCTGGGGTTGGGCGAGCAGTCAACAGCTTGGAGGTGCTGTTGGTATTCTAGACCGACATGCGGCCACAGGGAACACTTGCAGGATGAGGAGTGAGAGCGGAGGGCATGCTGGCTCATGTTCCCTGAGCTTTTCTGGAGTGGAGATCAAGAAGCACTGTTCCCTACCAGCCTGCTTCAGAGAGTCCAGCCAGCTCCATGCCTTCTTGTCGCTAGGGCTTCCTGTTCTCCTGAAAACCGTGTTGATCTTGGAAAACCCTGACTGCTACCCCCTGAGGTGGACAGGGGACTCCGGGGCCCTTCAAATGGCTGCTGGCATCTTGGAGAAGGGCCACTGTACTGGGTGGCATGGTATTTCTTGGCTGAAACATTTGGAGGACTGTCCAGGCTGCTCAGTGCTAAGAAGCTCACTCTCAGACTCTGTAACCTCCCTACCACATATCCCCACACTGTCGGCTCCCACCAGCCATCTTGCCACATAGCTCACTCGGTGGTGAACTGCTGTTTTTCTCAATGCCCTTTCTCCAGGAAGCCTTCCCTGACTGCTAGAGTTTGATGTGGATATCTCTGCCCCACCCAGGGCCCCCCAGCCCATGTCCCTATCCTCAGATGCCATCATTGAATTGTGTGTCATCTCCCCTGACTTCAGGTTGCCTGGTGCCTCCTTTCGAGGTCCTCAGTGCCTGACACCCAAGTCACAACAGTATATTCTTGTATCTGTAGAATGGATGAAAGTGGGGAGTGGATTGAGGGAGGGAGCTACAGGCCACCAGGCCACCAGCCGACCTATACAACTGGGACTGCTGCTGCTACTCTAACATCCACATGGCCTCCTCTCCCCTCAGGAACTCAGCAAAAGATTCACAGCAATCCGAAAGACCAAAGGGGATGGGAACTGCTTCTACAGGGCCTTGGGCTATTCCTACCTGGAGTCTTTGCTGGGCAAGAGCAGAGAGATCCTCAAGTGAGTGGGGCCGGAAATACTCATGGGGGTTCCCCTGCTCCTCTGTGCTGGACCTCCTGTAGTTGGGGAGCTGAGGCTGTCTGACAGAGGCAGAGGATGTCTGGAAGCCCAACTGCCTCCTGTGGTAGAGTTATGAGCAGACCCAGAGGCCAAGGAGGACGTCAGTAACCTGCCTGACATCTCCCAGTTCTCAACTTTGCCAACAGGTTTGGCTTACCAACACAGGTGGGTACTTGATAGTCACTGCAAAAAAAAGGAAACAAACAAAAGAACATACAGGTAGGTGTAGAGGCCAGAAGACCCTGGGTGTAGTGGCAGGGTTGGTGGCACACTCCTTTAATCCCAGTACTCAGAAGCAGGCAGGGTGGGTATCTGTAAGTTGGAAGCCAGCCTGGTTCTCATAGCTACCTGGGGCTATAGAGAGACCTTGTCTCAGGAACAGGAAGCAAAACACAACAAAGAAAAAAGAAACTTGTTCCTGCTGACCTTGGTCTTTTGTTATTGTTGTTTGTTTTGTCCATGTGTGTATGTATGTGTGTGTGTGTGTATACAAAGTTCAGAAGACAACTTTCAGGACTCGGTTCTCTTCTTCCACTGTGGGTTCCGGGCTTGAACTCAGGCTGTCAGGCATAGGTGGCAAGCACTTTTACCCACAGAGCCTTCATGCTGGCCCCTGACCTTGGTCTTGAGTGAATGTAACCCAGTGCTGGCTAGGCTGGTTCATATGTTAATGAAATGCTGCTCTGCATGGTGACCTGTGCTAGGCCTTTTTGTGGGCTGGCTTCAGAGCTCCTCACACTGTGTACAGACCTGGTGTCTTGGTGGGACTCAGGTTCTTGGTTAGCAGGTCTGGGAAGGACTGGGGGTCCATATCGCTCCTCATGATATCTATGCTTCTGGACTTCTGACCATATTTGAGGAAAAAGCAGCTTAGAGACCCAGCTGGTTCTGAACTTTGGTGTCATACAAACCTTAGCAAATTTGGTGAAGGCCTGGTTCTCATCAGAGCCATGCACTACACACACTCTGGGAAGGAGTTGCTTCCAGGCTTGATCTCCACCCCACGTTCTAGGAGTCCTGGAAATCCTCAAACAAGGCTGTCCAGGTAGACCCTTCCCTCTCTAGCTCCTCACTGCCAGCTGAGTCAGGCACAAAGACCATCCTAGCACAGGACAGCTTGTTCCCATCTGACCTGCTGCCTAACTCTGGGCTTGAACCCAGGCTGGTCCCACTCATGACCCAGATATCCATGATCTCCACCCCACGTTCTAGGAGTCCTGGAAATCCTCAAACAAGGCTGTCCAGGTAGACCCTTCCCTCTCTAGCTCCTCACTGCCAGCTGAGTCAGGCACAAAGACCATCCTAGCACAGGACAGCTTGTTCCCGCCTGACTTGCTGCCTAACTCTGGGCTTGAACCCAGGCTGGCCCCACTCATGACCCAGATATCCATAGCAACTCGGAAGTTTCCTGTATCATCTGTAGCCTTCTCCTCAAGTTGAACATTGGCCCTAGAGTTGTCACGGGCAATAAGCAACCAACTCACAGAAGCGCTTAGAGCCCTGAGTGCGTTCCGTTCCCTGTCTGTCCTCAATGTCATTACTCACCCTCTTCCATGTACCTAGAGGTACCTGTTATCCCTCGGGGCTGCCACAAGCCTGAGCAACACTCTTTGAGGCATGCCTTGTGGGGGCCAGCCTGACCCATTGGGTCTTTCCTCTGAGCCAGAACTGCCTGCCCTTCCCTTCCTCCTTCCTCTGCCTCTGGGGGAACAAATCCTGGGCTGGGTATGTGTCCCCACTCAGCTGGCCTTGTATGTCACTCATCTCTCAAAGTTTTATGGGGAATGAAAGTGGGATGAGACAATGATTCGGACTCCTTCCCCAAGTTTGTGTAGTACATGGCTCTGGTGATAGAGCTGAGCCTTCACCAAATCCTTTGAAGATTGCGGGACTCTACAGTTCACAGAGAGGGATGAGACAGTGGGGGCAGGAGAGTAGGGAGGGAGCTAAGCACATCATAGCCTTATACAGATCAAGCACAAAGCCAGTTGTGAAAGGTGAGGGCCCTCAGCAGCCTAGAGGACTGCAGCTGCCTCCTGAAGCTCCTACCCCTGGCCCAGGGCTTGTCCCTGTCACAGCTACAGACAGGTACAGGATGGAGCTGCAGGCCAGCTCTGTGGTCTCCTGAATTGGAGGCACTAGGCAGGACTAGCCACTAAATCCCTGCCTAGGAATAACAGCAACCATAGAAAGTCCCGTACTCTACCTGATCATTACCCTCATCACACAGAAGGGGAGTACAGCTGGGTTCAAAGTCACAGAGGGATTTGATGGGTGGGGAGCTGCCCCTGGAAACTGCACAGTGTTCCTCCCCTCAACCTCTGTGCCTCAGCTTGACACATCACTCATGTGGGATCAACTAGGGAGCCCTTGGGCAGAAAACACCCACCTAATGTTTTAGGGGCTCTGTTCCCTTCCATACCCCCACTGCTGCCACCACCCCCACACCCCTGAGGGCAGTGGAAGAGAGGCCCCAGGCCTTCCTACACAGCTTCTCCCTTCTAGGTGCTGACCAGGCCTGACCCTGCTTAGCTTCCGAGATTACGTGGCTAGGTCTTAGTGCTTTATTTTCCCTCTGTGAGGCCTTTGGGCTCCCAGATCCTCAGGTCTGTCTTGTCATCTGACCCCCATCAGCAGACAGGCCATGGCCAGAGAACTGAGCGTGGCCATAGTGTGTACGTGCCACCCACCCACGCACCTGGCCCTTCTCACACAGCAGGGTACTCAGATCTGCATCTATCTCTGAAGCTCAACAGATCTAGAGCCAAGGGCCAGCTTGGGGTTCCTCACCATATCCATGAGGACACTAGGACAGATGGCAGGAAGGGGCTGTGCATCAGGAGGTCTTGGAATGAGGGCAGAAGATAGAGTAAGGCCCTCTGGTAAATCTTGAGGGGTGGCTGGTGCTGGCTAGTGTTTAACAGTGGGTAGGGTGGGGGGCAGGGACAGGGAGGCCTGATTTATGGCCAAGCTGATTTCTGTGGTAGGAACATTCCTGTTGTGACCAATTTCCAGCTACTCACTTGAGCCATCTGAGCAGAGAATGGGAAGATGGAAACCCATGACCCATAGTGTTTCTGTCTCGCATATGTGATGGTTCCCAACCATCACAACAAGTACTAAATAAATAGGCAACACTGAGCTGTGAGTGTTAACCTTATTTTTTTAATATATGTTATATATTATTTTTATTTTGCCTTTATGAGTATGTTGCTTACATGTATGTAAGTGCACCTGTGTCATGCAGTGCTCCAGGAGGTCAGAAGAAGGTGTCAGATCCCCTGGAACTCGAGTTACAGATGGTTGTTAGCTGCCATGTGGGTGCTGGGATCTGAACCCAGGTCCTCTGCAAGAGCAACCAATACTCTTAACCACTGAGCCATCTCTTCAGTCCCTAGCCTTGATTTTAGGTATACTTTATTTCTTTGTAGGTTTGTACCATTTGGGGTTTTGTAAGGGCTATTAACTCCTGGCTGGCAAAATTCTTGAAAACATGGCAGTTCATTAGTTCAGGAGTGGTTACAAATTGGTATCCCCCAAAGAGGGGCATCCCCCACAAAGGGGCATCACAGAGGCCACACAGGCGCTGCCCAGGTGAGGTGCAAACAGATTGGCCGTGGCTGAGCAGGCAGTGTGTACCTGGACTTGAGATGAGGAGCACTCGTCCCTGTGAGGAGTAGGGTGCCAAGGGCAGAGACCAGGAAGTGAGTGGGAGAAGTGTACTAGCCCTGCTGAGGTCCCTGTGAGGAGGGCGGAAAGGGAAGGTCGTTGTGACCAGGGCAGACAGTGAGAGGCAGGACCACAGGGACAGGGTGGAGGCCCTGGAAAGGTGGAAGTGTGTGGTGATGGATGCCCTCTGTTTTCTCATCTGAGAAGTTGAGCCATTCATAGTGGGAGAGGCAGAGGGTCAGCAAGGGACATATGTAGAAGTACTTTAAAATGTCACAAGGTGCTTCTGTTAGTGAGGCTGGTATGGGCTGGACAGCTGCCTGTCATAGCAGCACTCTTTATCTCCCCTGTGACCATCAGGTGACCGTCGGGTCTCCTCCCCTCCAGGTTTAAAGAACATGTACTACAGACCCCAAATGATCTTCTGGCTGCTGGCTTTGAGGAGCACAAGTTCCGGAACTTCTTTAATGCGGTGAGTTCAGAGCCAACTTCGCTCAGGACCAGATAGGAGCAGGCACCCCTGGAGTTCGCTGCCCACAGCTCTGCAGCTCTGCCCTATTCCCCTTGCCTGAGGCTGGAGCAGGACAGGTCATTTCCTGCTTGTGGGTCAGAACACCCAGGTTTGGAGGACTCTCAGCTCCTGCTACTGTGAATGTATAATGGTGGGGGACCCAATGCTAGCCCTCTAGATATGCCTCTGGGCTTAGGCACTAACTCCCGTTGCAATCTCAGAATGAGCTCTGAGGGGGTCCTGGAAGGGGCAGGTTTTGTTGGGTCTGCTCTAATGGTGGTGGCCTGTAGTTCTACAGCGTGGTGGAGCTGGTAGAGAAGGATGGCTCAGTGTCCAGTCTGCTGAAGGTGTTTAACGACCAGAGCTCCTCGGACCAAATTGTGCAGTTCTTGCGCCTGCTTACATCAGCCTTCATCAAGAACCGAGCCGACTTCTTCCAACACTTCATTGATGAGGAGATGGACATCAAAGACTTCTGCACTCATGTAGGTCCTTGGGATCTTGGCCTTGGGGATGTGGCCCCCAGCCTTGGGCTCTGCTTGTCTGTCTACTATCCACGTCAGCACCACTGTTTCTGCCCAGAGGACAAAGGGGTCAGGTCTACTCTTGCAGTGCCAGTTATCTCTGTTGGTAAACTCCAGACATATCCAACTTGAGCTGCCTGAGCACTGAGGCTTACAACAAGCCACTTGCCTTCCCTCTCCCCTCCAGGTTTAAAGAACATGTACTACAGACCCCAAATGATCTTCTGGCTGCTGGCTTTGAGGAGCACAAGTTCCGGAACTTCTTTAATGCGGTGAGTTCAGAGCCAACTTCGCTCAGGACCAGATAGGAGCAGGCACCCCTGGAGTTCGCTGCCCACAGCTCTGCAGCTCTGCCCTATTCCCCTTGCCTGAGGCTGGAGCAGGACAGGTCATTTCCTGCTTGTGGGTCAGAACACCCAGGTTTGGAGGACTCTCAGCTCCTGCTACTGTGAATGTATAATGGTGGGGGACCCAATGCTAGCCCTCTAGATATGCCTCTGGGCTTAGGCACTAACTCCCGTTGCAATCTCAGAATGAGCTCTGAGGGGGTCCTGGAAGGGGCAGGTTTTGTTGGGTCTGCTCTAATGGTGGTGGCCTGTAGTTCTACAGCGTGGTGGAGCTGGTAGAGAAGGATGGCTCAGTGTCCAGTCTGCTGAAGGTGTTTAACGACCAGAGCTCCTCGGACCAAATTGTGCAGTTCTTGCGCCTGCTTACATCAGCCTTCATCAAGAACCGAGCCGACTTCTTCCAACACTTCATTGATGAGGAGATGGACATCAAAGACTTCTGCACTCATGTAGGTCCTTGGGATCTTGGCCTTGGGGATGTGGCCCCCAGCCTTGGGCTCTGCTTGTCTGTCTACTATCCACTTCAGCACCACTGTTTCTGCCCAGAGGACAAAGGGGTCAGGTCCACTCTTGCAGTGCCAGTTGTCTCTGTTGGTAAACTCCAGACATATCCAACTTGAGCTGCCTGAGCACTGAGGCTTACAACAAGCCACTTGCCTTCCCTGGAACAACAAGATTTTGAACTGGTCTGTTGATACATTTCAGCGTGGCCTCTAGTCACAAGTGGCCTGAAATGGGCTTTTGTTTAGGATGTATTTATCTGAAGGAGTGGCCAACATGTAAAAAACGTGGCAGTTCTCATATAGATATCTGGATTTCTCTTTATAAAGTTTCAGGAGATACTGGGCCCTAACAGGTGGCAAGAGTCAGCAGGCAGAAGAGTGACTGCCTCTGTGGGCTATGCCTGTTGGCCCATCACCATCCCTGTCTGTCTCCTCTGCATTAGGACTCACCACAGGTCCTGGCCTTTGCAAATACTTGAACCTAGAATCCTTTGATGCCAAGGTCCTTTTAATTCTGTCTTTCATGCTAACCTGAAAGATTCCTTCCCACTTTGCAGATTCCTCCAGGGTTCTGAAATAAGCATGACTCTGACTCATTTTATGAAATCCCAGTGATCGCTACATTGCTTACTCTGTGACATGGAGGGTATCAATCCCTGCTCCACACGTGCTTACAAAGATCCCTTCCCAGCAACATGTGACCATGACCCTGGGAAGCAGGCTGAATTCTGCTCCACACCTGCTTACAAAGATCCCTTCCCAGCAACATGTGACCATGACCCTGGGAAGCAGGCTGAATTCTGACGTTCTCTACCCAGTCTCCTTCTAAGCTAGCTTCTTTTTCATTTTGCCTTTGCAGGAAGTGGAGCCCATGGCCATGGAGTGTGACCACATCCAGATTACAGCCCTGTCCCAGGCCCTGAACATTGCCCTGCAGGTGGAATACGTGATCCCTTCCCAGCAACATGTGACCATGACCCTGGGAAGCAGGCTGAATTCTGACGTTCTCTACCCAGTCTCCTTCTAAGCTAGCTTCTTTTTCATTTTGCCTTTGCAGGAAGTGGAGCCCATGGCCATGGAGTGTGACCACATCCAGATTACAGCCCTGTCCCAGGCCCTGAACATTGCCCTGCAGGTGGAATACGTGGACGAGATGGACACAGCTCTGAACCACCACGTGTTCCCTGAGGCTGCCATCCCTTCCGTTTACCTGCTCTATAAAACGTCCCACTACAACATCCTTTATGCAGCTGATAAACACTGATTAATTTTAGGCCATGCCATAGAACCTGTCATCTAACGGACTACCTTCTGAATGGAACATTCCGTCTTTGCAGTTTTTTAAGCGACAGACTACAGGTAGAAAACATACAGCCTTGTGGGTAAAGCCATTGGAAGAGACCTCTATTCATTATGGACTGTGATGACTTGGTAGGAATTTTAGTATTTATTTTGACAGAGGGTCTAATGCCTGCTAACTCTGGACCTTCTAGAAAGCCAGGACCCCTGGCTCTGTAGTCCAGTCTCCTGCGAGATCCTCATCGGACCTATCTATTTATCTGGAAGATGTTCCTGACAGTGTTGACATGCTATTGTGTGAAAATGGGGACACAGGATTTTTCCTCAACAGGGGTGGTAGCGCTCTGTAGGGAGGAAAAGCTCAGGATCAGCTATCATGATTCAGGTGACTCAGCAGACCCACAAAAAAAGAATCCAGTCCAATTACATTGGGCAGATAATGGTAGGCGGCTCCTGAATGTGAGGCTTGTGTGTAGTTCCAATCTTGGTGGGTGTGCCTTCCCATGCCCCTCACTTAATGGAGAGACTTTTATGGTAAAGTTCAGAAGAGGATTTTAGCCTTCAACATGAAGCTCAGGTTGTGGGGTCCCTCTGCCTCTCCGAGCCGGAACTCAGGTCTTTCAGGGTTCTGCTGTCAGCCTCACCTGGATGAGGCTTGACACAAACTTAGTGAGTCAGTGCGTTCATGTCTGGGACCAGGGGCTGCAGCTGCCCATCATTCCCAGTGAATTCTAGAAGGAGAATCTAGGTAGTCACCTGGCTAGGGCTGTGTGCAGCATGAACCTACTGAGCAGATATTTTGCAAAGCTGTCTTTGGTTTCCCCCAGCCCAAGCTTCATGGGCAGTTAGTGGGAAAGAAGAGAGATAGGCCACAGAATTGGCGGTAGGGAGCTTTGCAGATGGAAAGTGCCAGCCAGTGCTGCCAGCAGCCTCTCCACCTGCACGTGCCCTCGTAAGTAGCCTTCTTACCTTGCCCCAAGATTTTCAGGAGTCCACTCTGAGCTGACAGGCAAGAGGACACATAGTGGGCAAACCAGCCTCTAGTAGGGCTGAGGCTCCTGCTAGCCACTTCGTCCCTAGAGGGAGGCTCCTCCTCCTGGGTTTCTTTCTGCAGGGATTTCTTAGAATCTGTTGGTGCTGCTGTGCAAGTTTGCTGACAGTCTGCACAAGGACTGCATAGCAGGCTTCAAAGTCTTACAAGTGTCAGCTTTGTATCATTCTTTTGTTTGATGAAGGCCAACAGCAGAGATGTCAAAGCAGTATGGGAACCAAGGCCCCAGTTTCCCACACTGCTTTTGGCCAGCTAGATCCAAGGGCTCAAGCTCAGTGATTCTATCACTTTTGCACAGGAATATAAACCTGACCCTCATCTCTGTTCAGTGTTCTACTCCGCTCTGGGGAGGAGTGTTTGGCTCTATGACAAGTACCCTAGAAGAGTGGGGGACACCCATTTCCATGACTCATCTTCTGTCAGACTAGTTTACTTCCAAACTGAAATGTATGAACACTGGATGCCTGGAGGATGGCCTGGGCTGCTCCACAGGGTTGTGATGGGTTTAGGGACAGGGAAATAGGACTTGGGAACTTGTTAAAACCTGGTTATCCCTAGCAATTAGCTGGCTAGTCTACAGCAACCATGCCAGCACAGCTATTTCCTGAATGATTCCTATACCACGAGAGCCACCTCGTTCTAGACCAAACAGATGCTTTGAGGGCTCATCTTTGCAAATGCACGTGTATTACTTTCTTCCCAGAGGAAATACTCAGTGGGGGTAGCAACAGAAAGAGCAGTGTACTTGCTTGGCCTGGGTTCCTAACACTAATGAAATAAGGCTAGAGCCAGACTGCCCAAGTTCATATATCAGCTGTGTGACCTTGGCCAAGCCACTTCACCTCTGCCTTTTGGAAGCAGAGGGCTGCCAGGTGGAGCAGCATGCCACCTCAGAAGTGACTGACTTCCCCAAAAGTGTGAGCCTCAGGAACCATGACACAATTCCAAGAGCCAAACACACTGCCAGCCTAGAGGTAGAGGGTAGGGGGCTGGGGTTCACCGAGTGCCCAGGGCCCTGCCCTTCAACTTCTCTGAGCAAAATGAAAACACTGTCTTAGCATTAAAAAATCTCTAAGAATAACTTCCAGCCTGGCTTCTAAATGTTGGGTACTTGGCATGTAACCAAGACCTCCGCCACCTTCCCACAAGGCCATTAATGCCTGTCTGGGATGTTCCTCATTTAGTACCAGATCCAGGAAGCTCTCTGCCCATAGACTTCCCCAGAGCCTTACCACATGAGGGGAACACATTTGGGCTTTAGGGGACTGGCTCCTTCTCCTGGGATGTGTTCATCTAGGATACTGTTGCCTCAGGCTGCCCAGGACTCAGGTGCTACTGAGAGCCCTTGAACCTGCTTATCAATTTGACATCTGATAGCAGCATTTGGAAATGGAGAGACCCCCCTGCCATCCTCTGACACCTGTCAGTTGAACTGGCCTCTCACACTGGGTGTTTTCTTCTGGTTTTTTACTCTCTCGTCCAGGTCAGCTATAGACAGTGGGGTTGGGGAAAGGGTACTTCCAGGAGACCAGAACAGAGCTTATCCAGAAGGAAGATGTCCTCCTGAGATACCACACGTGGCTGCTGGGTAACACTGACTAGAATCTTAACCACTCAGTGTTTGCCTCCTCAGCTACAAAAGAAGGACATTAGGATACATCTTAACCTCAAGGATGACCAAGTGAGAATTTAAATCAATAAAACTAACAGATGGGACTGGTGGTACAGACCTATAATCCTAGCTACTCAAGATGCTGAGGCAGGAGGATCCCAGGTTTAAGGCCCACATACACAACTCCCTTTCAAAATGAAAAGGACCAGTGAGATGGCTCAGTGGTACAAGTGCTTGCCACGCAAGCCTAACCTGAGCTGGATCCCCGGAACCCATACAAAGGTGGAAGGAGAGAATCAACTGATCTCCGTGCGTGTGTAGGTCTCTACCCAAACTCTGCATCGTCATACAATTAAAAAAAAAAAAAAATTGAAGTCACAAAGGGCTAGGGGATATAACCCAGTGACTGAGTGCTTACCAAGCATGTGAGGTCCTGGGCTCAACCTCAGGTGCCTTGGGGGAGGGCGGCGGGGGATGTCTTAATACCTGGCACTTGGTCAATAATGACACCAGAATCCACAAAGCTAACTTGTCCTCCCAACCTTGCTGTGTGCTGAGGGAGACTGGGTCCCTTAGATCGTGGGGTATTTCTGTCTACCAGTGTACTCTATTCAAACCCATAGAACCCCTCAAGTCAAGCATCTGAATTGTGCCAGTGGACATCCATCTCAAAGTCCAGGCTAAGCTGTGCAGAAACCTGTCCTCCTAAGTTGTGGTAGCCAGACTCACCCATTCTGCAGTGTGCATTTACACCAAGTTCCAACCAGAACAGTGTGACCAGTACTACAAGGAGGGTAACACAGGACACTGAGGTATGCATCCAAGAGCACTGTCCCTCCTAGAGGACAGACAGCAGTGCTCCAGGATGGATGAAAAGGCAATTCAGTCTGAGAGAAAAGCCTATCTTGCAAAAAGGCTGCAATAAAAGGAATCATGGGCAGGAGCTTGAGCCGTGTCCAGAGGGCCTTTCTCCCTCCTTACCCAGCAGATTTGTGACTTAGCTGTGAGCTGAGGGAGGGTCAAGGACAGCACGCTTGTCTCTGACCACCTTCCAGGGTGGCTGAGATAAGAGAGCAGCCAGCAACAGTATGCCACAGCAAGAAGCTGGCATTGTGCTGCTGTGGGGAGGGGCAGGGACACGTACTGAAGACCCAGCAGTGCTGTGATAGTGACTCGTGGCCAGAAGCCTACGCCACTATTCCCTCCATCAAGGAACTGCTTTCTAAGTTAATGATAAAGCAAACTGCAACACCCTCCTCGGTAGTGACTCGTGGCCAGAAGCCTACGCCACTATTCCCTCCATCAAGGAACTGGCACTGTGTTGACCCAGAGGATTTCTAAGTTAATGATAAAGCAAACTGCAACACCCTCCTTGGCCCCCCAGCTTTAAGTATCAGAATAATATTCCAGTTCCCACCACTTTTTAATTCAGGAAGTCAAGGTGAACACACAAGAAGCCAGCATGTAGTGGACAAAAGAGATGTAGCAGCTAGGGAGAATTCTTACTCCACAACACAAGTCTGCAGGAGTTCTTTCTTGCTATGGGGTGGCAGAGTGGGAAATTCTCCTAGGTGGATGGTGGCGTGAAGCAGCAGGGTGGGGAGGTTTTCGCAGACATCTGAGGGCAGGCACTGAGCCGCCTCCATTCTGGGACCAAGGGCAGCTAACCCGAACTTGTACTTGGCTGTGCCGGTTCCTGATGTTCTTTTGGCTTCTTCTTCTTCCTTTTCTGTTTGGACAGGCAGCTCAGTGCAGACTCGCCATTCCTCGGGGCCACCATTGGCAGGGGCAGCCTGCCAGACTGTGTGGGGTACTTGGTCTTCAGGTTCTCTTGGAATAATGGCTGGGCGAGCAGCTGGCGCAGCTCCCTCTTCAGCACCTTCATCTGCTTTTGTCGCCGACGCTCCTCTTGCTGGTCAGCTTTTCCTCCTCGAGACACAGAAACAAGACCGGTCATGTTACCATGACACGAAGACACACTTTGCTTCCTTAGACTGCTGATACAAGCTAGTGGTGGCCTGACAGGCCAGAGCCACAAATGGCTAACTTCTGTTTAGGAGGGATAGGGAGGCTCACTTTCCTTTATCCCTTACCAAACCAACAGACAGGAACTAGCTTCAATTTACAGATAAGGCAGTTCAGACTTAGAGGAATCACATGACTCACAGAATATCAGATATCAGAACCCACACCTCCTGACTGAAGGTCTGTGTTCTTGCTGGACTACAGCCATTTGCTGCCCATCAGGGATTGACAACCACAAACCCCTCTGGTAAAAGTGAACAGTTAGTTCTCTGCAGCCTGATGCTGTTGACTACACAGAGATGGGCACAACTAAGTTCCTACCCAAGCCTGACCTCAGGAAGGAAAGCAGAGCCTCCATGTCTCTACATGAGCCCCAGGCCTGAGCCACAAGGACAAGCTCCCTGTAAGCTGCTGCTGTGACTCCTGCCTTCCATGCTGCTCAGCAAGTCTCTACCGAGAAACCAACACCTCAGCTGAACTGTGTTGCTGGTGATGAGGAAGGAACACAGGCCAGAATTTTGCTGCCCTAAGTTCCAGGTGTGGGTGTCAGCTCTCCTAAGCAGGGCCGTGCAGTCTTGCCCTCGAACCCTTCCTTCACTTCTGGTCCACATACAGAGGAGGCTCAGATTGTGCCTGTTTCTCTACACAGATTCCTCCTCTGTGAGCCTGTAGCCCACATGTAAAAGGTTAATAATTCCTACACAGTTCATGCCAAGAAGCTAGAGAAGTTCAAGTGAGGCACAAACGTGCTTTGTTGCCTTGGAAAGCAGGTGCAGCAGTAACGATAAAAACTGACCTAAAAGTACCATGTACTTTCTGTTTGCCAGGCACTGTACCCAGTTTAGATTTTTTACCTCAACCTTCATAACCCCAAGAGATAGGTAGTTTATTGCCTCTGCCTTATAGATGAGGTAGAGCAGAGAGGCTAGTCACAGTCAGTCAAGAGAATGGGCTGATTAAACACAGAACTGGCTCCCAGCCATTGACGTCATGGCCTGTCCATGAGACAGCGTCAGCTGAAGGCTCCAGACAGGCACGACAAGGAATAAAGGCCTTGGGGCATCTGGCTGGTCTGAAATAAGGAGCCATGAGCCAAGAACAGGGCACCTTGCAGTTTCCATCAGGACCAACAGTAAGGACAGTTCCAACAAGGCACACATGGCCGGGAAAACCACCGCTGAATGCAGCCTCACTTGCCAGGCCGCCCAGGGGTCTACCTTTGTACATGTCTTCTTCTAGCTCAATCTCGAGGGCAGCCGCCGCCTGCTCAATCCAAGAGTTGTGCAGACAAGCCTGGAAGTTCCGATACTCAGCTTTCTCAATCTGCCGAGCCAAACGGATCCGCTCCTGGGGGACAGTAACAGGAAAGACTCACTGACAGAGGAGGGTTCAGGCCTTCTGGCAAGCGAAGTCCCACTGAAGATGTTTTTAAAATGTTCTTGAGATCAGTGACCAGTGAGATACAGCTCAAACCCTACTGAAACCCCATTTGTTCCTCATAAAAGCCCAGGGGGAAGTTTTTACACCCCTTTTAAGACCGTCCCAGGCTAAATGCCAACCTACAAGTGGTCCAGAGTAAACTCATTCCGCAGGTGTCACATCTAGCTTCCATAACTCTCCTTCTCATGAGCTGAGGTCAATTATACCCGCCCCTACCTCTACATGGGAGAGATTATGGAACCATGGAAAGGAGGGTGGCTCACAGGCTCCTTAGTAGAATCCTCTACCATCTCCTGTCATCTCCCACAAATCCCCACAGCTAGCACTCCTTTCGTGACAGAGTGGCCACTGGTCCTTGAACTGACTCATTTTTTGCTCCCTCAATTCCCAAAGCTCCATCATCTTCTCCTCTCTCTCCCTCATCTCTGCTGTGGGATGAAAGCTCTTCTCGCCACCTCATAACCGTATGCCTACCAGCCCCCGTGGTTCCATCATACCTCAGGACCAGATAACAAAGTGGATGAGGGAGAAACACACCTCTTTGGTCAGTACCCTTCTCTCCCTTCTCCTGGGTCTGGCGCTCCCGAGCTTTTCTACAAATGCCCCATTAAGCTATCGGCAGGACCATTCCTCAGTTCCACAGAGGAAGGTGCTCTGTGAGGGAGCAGTACACTGAGTTTAACTTTCATTTTTACCTTGACGACATCCATGTACTTGGACTGAACCGGAAACAGTGGGATGTCCTCATCTTTCTTGAGAGTTTTGTAAATCTTCTTAAAGTTGATTACATCTTCAGGTCCAATGAGCATCAAGCTGAGGCCTTCGCTAGTAGCACGGGCAGTTCGACCACTTCGATGGATATAAATCTCTGAGGTGCGGGGTACCTGCCAAAGCAGGAACTAGAATCAGCACACAGACATTGCCAAAAACTACTCTTCCCCCTAGGGCTACATCCCTTCCAGGCAGAAACCTCTCCAGCAACCTGGACAACCTAGTCTTTCTTCCTGAACCACACTGACCCTGTTCCTAGGTGGACAGTCCATTCAATGTGCACCTTCCTGTGCCTTCCACACTGACTCAGCTCTTCATCATCAATCTAGCCATCTGCTTTTCCTCTAGCCCTCCCCACTCCCCCTCCCCTCCCACCAGCAACACTGACTTGAGACTCAGCTTTGAAACTCCACAGGTTCTTCACAAAGTCTGCATGGGTGGGTGACTGATGACAGCATTCATTAACTAACGTTTACTGAGGGGCTGCATTAGGCCAGACAATTACATACACATTGCGTGTACTATCATATTTATTCCTCTCAGTCATATAAAATACTTCGTGATTATCCACATATCACAGACCAGGAAACTAAAATGGAGAGAGGTCACTAACTTCCCCTAGATCACCCAAATGTGGGAGCCAGGTTTCAAACTGAAGCATCCAGCTCCAGAGACCATGCTAACCCATGCTAAACCAGGGCGACACCACCTCTAGTCCAATCTATAGCAGATGTGTTACCCACAAAGAGCATGGCCTGAGGCTGGAGACAAGGCTCAGCAGCCAAGTGCACTGCTGCTCTTACAGAGGACCTGGGATCGGTTCCCAGTACCCACATGGTGGCTAACAACTGTAACTCCAGTTCCCGGGGATCTGATACCCTCTTCCAATCTCCATGGGCAATGCATGACATGGGTGTACTTACACACATGCAGGCAACATACTCAATACACTTAAAATATCAAAAATTATTTTTTTTTAAAAAGAGCATGACATGGGTGTCAGCACTGCTGCCTCCCCGCCCCTGTGGCACCTACCACCCCCATGGCACCCACCACCCCTGTGGCACCCACCACTAATCAAGCACAGCAGCCTTCTTCACTGGGCTCAGTAGCTCAGTATCTTTTCCAAGACAACACTGTTGGCACCACTATGAACTGTTAACCACAGTTCTAGAAATGAGATGTGTCTGCCATTCTTCTCCTTGCAGAACAATACAGCTCCTCACTGTTGACATTCTAGGCCTTCAGCCACCTGCTCCCAACATACCCTGCTGGCCTCAGCAACTGCTCACCTCCTCCTCTCCCAATGCCACCCACCCTCTTCTGTTCCAGGCCGAGTGACCCCACACATGACTATTTCTACATGTTTGTCCTTCATTATCTCCCTCTGCATGGACGATTCCTCTCCATCCCTGAATGCCCAGCATCCTTTAGAATGCACTACATTACATATGATAACTTTCTCATACTTCCTGCCTTAAGCTATGGCAGTGGTCACACCTCACCTTTACCTCCTCTCCTAGCTGGCATGTATCTTAGGAGCTGAGACTATATTGGGTCATGGTATCTCCTATAACTGACTCGATCCCTTCTCTAAACAGATTTGCTAACCTGAAATTAGTGCCCCCAAAGATATCTGTTTATTTGTATTTTATGTGCATGCGTGTTTTGTCTGCATGTATGTAAGTGCATTGTGTGCATGAAGCTCTCATGGAGACCAGAAGAGGGCATCAGATCCCCTGGAACTGGAGTTACAGACAGACGGTTGTTAGCTGCCTTGTGGATGCTGGGAACTGAACCCAGGTCCTCTGCAAAGTAAACAATGCTCTTAACTGCTGAGTCATCTCTCCAGCCCCTCAATTATATTCTTTTTAGACCTTAAGTTAGAAAGACATTATCTCCACAAGAACTCAGTCTTTTTGTTGTTAGTGGGGTTTTTTTTGGGGGGGGGGGGGAAGAAGCTTGAGACAGGGTCTCACTATACAGGCCTAACTGACCTGGAACTTGCTATGTAGAACAGGCTGGCCTTGATCTCACAGAGATCTACCTGCTTCCACCTCCTGAGTGCTGGGACTAAAGGTGTGTGCCACCAAGCCCAGCTTGCCAAAGATTTTTAAAAGCAAAATAAAGGGGAAAAACAACAAACATGTCCTAATAGATACCACGCATTCAGTACTTACACTGGGCCAGGTACTTCACCAGCTACTCAGTTCTCTGACAGGTGGCATTATTACTTGTAGTTCAGAAGTAACACCGGAACAGATGCTGCTATCTGGACCTCTGACTGGTGTTCAAACCCTGGCAGTTGGCTCTGCGGCCCATGCTCCCAGCTACAACACACTGATGCTTACTAGTGCTTACATGGATGCTACTATTATCAACATCCGCTAACATACTAAGCGCTTCTCAAGTCCCTCTCATACTCTGCCTTAGAAAGAACCCAACCACTACACTGCCATTTAGCAAAATGAGAGTGCTCAAGGAACAGAGGGGCCAAATAATTAGTTCAAGGCCACACAGCTAGGACTTAAACCAAGGGAAGCCCTAAGTACCCCACTCCTGTACTTCTCTACACCAGAACAAGCATTTAATATGTACTTTGTCTTCACTAAACTCAGGCTGAAGCTTGATTCTTCAGTGCAGCAAGCGAAGTAGATGAGGCAGGGCCTAGTGGGAGGAGTTTGGGTATGGAGGTGGAGTTGCTTGAAAAGATGAACGGGTGCATTCTCGCTCAACCATGATGTCACATGAAGCTCATCTCCCTCACGTCTGTCTCTGTACTTACAACTCCTGCCCTTCCATCTTAAGGCTCCCAACAGAAGCTGAACAGATGCCTGGGACATGTCCTTGGACTTTTCAGTCTCCAGAACCAACAGACAAAACCTCTTCATAGATTATCAGTCTCAGGTATTGTTATATTAACTGAAAATAGGCTAAGATACATGCTTGACTTAATACCCATTTCATGGAAAAAACTAAGACTTTAACCGATGCTATCAAGTAGCTTGGGAGAAGGGCTACTTGGTAGCAGACAAGGGTTTTCTGAGTCTGAATCTCAATAAATGTTCCAAAAGTAGTGGTGGGCACCAGGGGGCATGTTACAGGGGACCTGAGGAACAACCACTCCCTCTCTATAGTAATGACTTTTACAACATGGACATAATCTGGACTAATAACTTTGACCTAACCTTGTAAAATAAAAAAGTTACTATTTATAATGTAAACAAGATCATTGAGCCATCTGCTTCTCTTGTGACCTGGGCATATGACCTACTCCCTCAGATAGTGTAGAATAGAGTATGGGTGCATACATATGATTTACATATTAAAGCACTGGAAGCAGCCTGTTTTTCCCAATGATAAAAATGGAGAGGTCTGTTTGTAATTATATGTGTGATACTATAGATCCAGGGACCAAAAGGCAAGATTTTCTGGTAAGAGTGGGTCCTAGCTTCTACTTTCCCAATTCATACTGGAGATACTGTTTTGATAAAAGAATGAGTGAAGCCTGGCTCAAGAGCAGAGTTCCGTGACACAGCTGAAGGAGCAGGTGCTCAGCAGCTTGGGTCCACTCTTGCTTGGCCTTAAGATGAATGCCAAGAGTCCGTCAGACTGTTTCTTAATTCAGGAATAACTGTAATGTGACTTAGAAATGTCACACCTCTCTGCCTCAATCTCTGCTCTAACACTTCCCCATTCACTGCAGGAAGAGGCCTCTAACTACCCATACCTGGTAATGGATAACATGTTGAACTTTAGGAATATCTAGACCCCGAGCTGCCACATCCGTTGCCAAGAGAACACAGCTGTGATGGAAACAGAAAACACATTCATAATTATAACCAACAGCCATTATTAGTCAAACTTACCACCTTCTGATCACTCACCACTCACCAATAATAATACCATCATCTCCCTTTATAAATTAGTGAGCTGAGGCCGAGACCCATGGTACGCACAACCCATTCAGGGGTGGCATCAAGAACCTAACTAACCTGGGTCTCACCAGCTTCAAGCAATATGCAATTTTCTGTTAGTGAATTAAATGAAGCCACACATATTCTGGGTTGGCGACCTTTATCTCCTAGTATCTTCCCACTCATCCCCTTCCAGTCCAATAGACTGCCTTGCCGTTCCCCAGGCAGACAATCTGCCACCCTGCTCCCTGAGTATCAGTTAGTCCAAAGGCAGCTAGACAAACAGTACGAGAAGCTGTGGATGGGCTCTGGGGTATGACAGGCTCTTCTGAGCCCAGCCCTGTCATTTCCATGGAGCAAAACCTTGAGTAAGCTGATAAGCTTTCCCAGACCTCATTGTGTCGTTCAGAAAATGAGAACGGCGGTGATTAAGTGGTAGCAGCTGCACAGGCAAATGAGCAAACGTGACGTCGCAGAGACCATTCCCAGCCTTTCTATGCAAGAATTCTCAATCACTTCATTTTATAACAGCCCCATCAGGTAGGGTCTGCTAGTGAACCAGGTATGAGAAAACGAGGCAGAGCAGTGAAATAAGTTGACCAGGTAGAAAGTGAAGGAGTCAGGGTTTGACCTCAGCGATTCTGGCTCCTGGCTGTGTACTCTTACTCAGAATTCATTCTGCTGCTTCTCAGGGATGTTAGGGAAGTGAATGAATCTCTAGCAGGTTATCTGTTGTCTAAGATTCAACAACAGACACCGTCATCTGACTCATTACTGTAAGTTAATACAGAACATTAAATAAAAGCAACTAAATATAATAAATTAGTGACCTTGCCAAATACAGAGAGTAGAAGGGAGAGAGGGAGGAGGGAGGGGAAGAGGAGGGAGAAGGACGTCTACTGCTAAGGCCCCTACTACACAATGTACGGTCCTGCCTCCCATCATCCTGGCCCCCTTGATGCAGTGGCTCATGGCTCAAGGCCAGGCCTCTGGAGACAGGCTTGACTTACTCTTCCAGACGGGCAAACTGCTCCAGGTTTCGGAGCCTCTGTTTCTGGTGCATGCAGGCATGCAGGGTCAGTGGCATGATATCCAGGACCTTGAGGAGCCCAGAGAGGCGTTTTATGCAGGAGATGCTGTTAGCAAACACAAGGCTGCGGCCGGGATACTGCATCAGGAAGTAGTACAGATATAAGTCTTTCTCCTCTGTCTCACAATGGATCTTGGTCTCTGTCAGTGTCTCCACTGTACCCTCATTCCTTGTGAGATCGATGACTTTTGGTTTGCCCTTCAGGCCGATCTTTTGCATGAGAAGGTCAAGTTTGGCAGTTTTGTCCATTTTCTTCATGTGCTTCTTATGAAGGATTCGAGCAGGAGCTTGGTGTACTAGCGTCAGTGTGGCAGAAAAAACAAGGGTCTGTCGCTTTGGATTGTACTGGGGGTCATTTAGTATTTCTAGCAGCTGAGAGAGCTCAGCAAAGTGGCCTTTCTCAACCATCCGGTCAGCCTCATCCACCACCAGGCACCTGAGGATCCAGACATGACCACAACAAGTCAGTGCAACCACAGAGAGAGAAACCTCTATAGTGTATCCTGGCCCCACCCCAGTCACACACATGCACCCACCTACCATCACCACTAGGGCACCAGTTAACTTCGCCCATGCACACTTAACTTTCCAGGGTCGGCCGGGATGGCTGTGGTATTCTCTGGCAGGGAAAAGGCACTGCACATGCCATTCCCTCACCTCAGGCTCACTTCAGAGAGAGTAAGAGAGAACTGCCACCTCTCACCTGAGCTGCCGAAGATCTCTCAAATGAGGATGTTTTTCTTTAACTAGCTCCCAGAGCCGACCAGGAGTGGCGATCACAATCTCGGGGTGTCGGTTCAGCATCCTCTGTTGTTTCTGTGTGGACATTCCACCAACCAAAATTGCCGTTTTAATTCCTCGAGAACAGAAAACATAATGGACGCTGTTATTCAGTCTGATATAATCTAGTTCCCCTAGATTAGCGTATGACAACCGGATCTCTGCACTCGAGGGAATGCTCAAAGAGCTGTCCTGGCCTGACTCCTAGAGGGCTTACCAAATAGTCTGTGGTCAGGGCCCTGTCTACACTGTCAGCATTTCTCTCTACTCTCTTCCTTCTGACCACAGGGGCTGTGGTCACCTCCACAGCTCTGAAACTTGAGCAGTGGGTGTACCATGATGCTGAGAACATTTCATAGCTTAACACTGTTAGGGTTCGGATAGCCCCGCCCCCTCACCAAGAGGGTCTCAGGGTTCCGCAAGCTCCTGAGAAAAGCACCTTGGTCTCTGAAGTCAAAAGCAGAATTTTCTCCATAGTTTGACCAACACAGCAGGCTTCCCCTTTGATCTCTAAAGGGGGCAGGTTTTAACAGTCCTGCTCCCCACCCCAACCTTTAAAAAATATATCTTCCTGCCTTCTGCACTCCCCAGAAGCCTCTCCCTATAAAAGACCCCAGCTCACAACCCAGGGCAGACATTTTCCCTACCAGGAAGGAAATCTGTCCCATGTGTTCCCTTGCCAATAAAGTCTATTCCGTTGGAGTTAATCTCTAAAGGGGGCAGGTTTTAACAGTCCTGCTCCCCACCCCAACCTTTAAAAAATATATCTTCCTGCCTTCTGCACTCCCCAGAAGCCTCTCCCTATAAAAGACCCCAGCTCACAACCCAGGGCAGACATTTTCCCTACCAGGAAGGAAATCTGTCCCATGTGTTCCCTTGCCAATAAAGTCTATTCCGTTGGAGTTATATCTGTGTCCTGGTGCTTTCTCCTGATCAACCCGATTCATCCACCACCTACTTTACCTATCAAACACCTTTTGGAAGTCCTTCCCATTTCCCTCAATTAGAGTTAATATGAAGCTTTTCTAGAGCCCAGTGCTTTCTCTCTAGTTGAGGACTTTTCCTAATCCTGAAGAGTACCTTGCACTTATAAGGTACTTGGATCATGAAATATGGCTTTACTTAATATAAAATTTAAAGCTTCACTATGCAAGCCGTTCCCAAAAGGAACATAAAATTAAGCTTTTAGTTACAGCAGTGCCTGCAAGATTATTTTCTGAAAAAGTCACTTGCCAATATAACTGGCCTTGTAGATCAAATAAGCTGTCACAACTAACTTTATTCCATTTTGTCACTAACACAAAAGCATTCAGACAACATGTAACCAGGGCAGAACCATTATCATTGGTTAAGACTTTGATTAAGCCAGGCGTGGTGTCGCACGCCTTTAATCCCAGCACTTGGGAGGCAGAGGCAGGAGGATCTCTGTGAGTTCAAGGCCGGCCTGGTCTACATAGCGAATTCCAGGACAGCTGGGGCTACAAGGAGGCCCTATCTCAAAAAGACAAAAAATAAACAAAAACAACTTTGATTAAAAAGTAAAGCTGCAATCCTCTGTTCTCAGGAATTATAGCCAATAAACTAACTCTCATGTATCTAGAATGGCTATAGATATTTAGCCTCCCTTGAGAGAACTGAAAAAATGTCAACCAACTTCTATAGGACTTAATTTTCTGGCAGATGAGAAAGCACCCCCTGAGGACAGCTTTCATCTTTATTACCCAGTATTTAGGGATTTGCTTAGAAAATGCTTAAGTGAAACTAAAACTCACCTGTAAACCTGGCCACAGCATCAATATGTTGTTTGACCTGGACAGCCAGCTCTCGAGTAGGAGTCAGAACCAGTCCCAGCAGAGGACGCCGTGGGTGTAATTTATTGGCAGCGATTTGGTCATACAACTGTTTTAACTTCTCGGTCTGCTCTTCTTCAAACTTCTCTTCATCCTCATTCCTCTTGGAGGCAAGCTTTGCCTCCATCAAGGAAGAAGGCCCTTCACCAGCATCATCACAGAAGGGCAGTGCCAGCTCTGAAACAGAGGCACCAGCCTGACTAGGCAGGGCTTCCTTCTCAATTCTGGCCTCCTCAGGCAACACTCCAGACTCAGTTCCGCCCTTGTGTGGTAATCCAGGATCAGCTTCAGCTTCAGTTCTGGTCTCCCCTGGTGGCACTCCAGTCTTACTCGGGATGGGCAATACCTTCCTCTTATGCCACTGCAAGACTGCATGAATCATTGGGATGGCAAAGGCAAGAGTTTTCCCACTTCCTTTGAAGCAAAACAAAACACAGTATGAATCAACAGAGGGAGTTCTTTGCTTTGTATAGAACTAAGGGTTGTTGATATAGCCAAGTGCCATCCCAACCAACCCAAAGCTCCACTATACATTGGTTCTTCCTTCCAGACCATGGCAGCTGTGCATTTAGGATAACACAAGGAGAAGTACAGCAGGCTGGCACTAAGACCTGAGGTCACCAAGCATCCAAACAGTGAAACCATGAAGAAATGAACAGCAAGTTTTTGTTTTATTGCTGTGTGGGAACTGCACATTGGAGGGAATCTATGCTTTGCTAAGACCTTCTTCTTCAACAAAGGAAGGAATAAGAGAAATCTTCCTTTCTTTGGAAAACTTCAGTAGAGCACTTTTGTCTATGCACGAGTATTTTCAAACTGACCTCTGAATGTATGTGGAGCCCAGATTCACATTATCCAGGTGGTCAAAAGAAATAGGACGCCACAAGCTGAGAATTTAAAGTGCAGCAGTTTCTCTTTAATTGCCATTTTACTTTGCATAGTTTCACTTATCCGTGGTCAACTATGATCCAAAGATGTTAAACAGACAATTCTTTACTTGGAATGCCAAGTAAAGTGAAGAAATCACACAGTCTGGCTCCATCTACGCAAGACATGACTCTTCCTTCTGTCCAGTGTATTCACATTGTCCATGCTACTCACCTGTTGGTCACTTGGTGGTGATCTCAGTTAGACTCTATGTCCCCACTTTGTTCAAGTAACCCTTCTCTTACTTAATAACGGCCTGCTGTATGACTAGGGTGACCCTAGCAAGTCATTCAGACATGCCAAAGAGAGGCTGCAAAGTCTTTTCAACTAAAAAGCTGAAAAATTTTTTTATAGAAAAAAATGCCATGATTCAGTTACTAAGCTCTACAGTGAGAAATGAAACTGAACATTCCTGAGATAAAGTGACCTTGATCACCATGTGTTGTTGTATTTGGGCTATTAAAATTTTGTCATGTTTGGATATACTATTGGAATATTGGTCTATACTTTTCTTATAATCTTGTCTGGTTTTGGAATTTAGAGCAACATTGGTCTCAATGACTTTGAAGTGACCCAAAACCAAAAATCCACATACCAGGCCCAGCGCAGTGTTGCACACCTTTAATTCCAGCACTCAGGAGGCAGAGGCAGGTGAATCTCTTGTGAGACTGAGACTAGCCTGGTCTACATAGAGTTCCAGGTCAGTCAGGGCTACATAGTGAGACCCTGCCCCCCACCCAAAAATTCACATACATAAATAAATGCAGGAAAAACATTTGAAAAAAATCTAACATCCATTTCTGATTTTTGAAAACTCTCAGTAAACTCGAACTCCACAAGCATGATCTCAAGCTGATAAAGAACAGCGATGCAAGAGCTAAGTAGTGCTGCCATCTTAATTTATAATGGGGCCTACAAGACCCAGATGTAAAGCAAGGGCACCAACATCAGGAAGGGGCAGACTTCAACCAGAGCTGGATGACTCCACCACATCTCCATTCACTACAGCTTTTGCGGTCGTGTTCAGCAGTCCCCTCTCCCAGTTCTCCAGCCCGTGAGCAGCTACAGGACTCTAGAAGTTCTCGCGATCTGGACAGCACAGCACTTACCTGTCTCGGCAGCTCCAAGGATGTCCAGTTTGTCACGGATGGCAGGAGCCAGGGTCAGAGCTTGGATTGGGGTGGGTGCAGAGAAGCCTAGAAAGCTGAGTGCTCGGAGAACGGCCTTGGGCACGAACAGGTCCTTCCAGGCTGACACGTCTGCCTTCTGGTCTTGTACTTCAGGCATCCACGTCTTGGCTTTTTTGGGCACCTTAGGAGCAGTGCTCTGGGAAGGGTCTAATCTTTTTTTCCCTTTGTTTTTCTTCTTTTTTGGAACAGTCTGCATGAGGCTTTCTGGTACCATTTCTCCTATCTTTTGATCAGAATGAATGACAGCATCTCCCTGAGTCTCTGGCTCAGAATCTTTGACTTCAAATTCATTCTGGCCAGTACTTCCTTCAGCAACCAGCACTGCATCTTTACGTTTCTTCAACTTGATCTTCTTTGGAGGGCTAGACTCTCCTTCCTCCTCCTCTTCTGAAACAGCTGGAGCCTTTCTCTTCTTGGGCTTCTCCTTTGAGGAGAGACTAGAAGGATTCTCAGCTGGGGAGACTAACCGGTAGTCTGTCAGTTCCTCAAAGCACACTAAGTCATCCATCTGCCCATCTGCAAATATATTTGGGTCGATCTTCACCTGCTTCCATTTTCCCACAACTCTGATGCCCTTTGTCTGAAATTTTCTGTGGCTTGCTGGCTTTGGCCTTGATTTTGTTTCCTTCAGCTTCATGGTTGCTGAAAAGAGATAATGTTCCTTTAGGTCAGTGACTGAGAAGCACAGGTTCTAAGGCAACACATACTTTCCAAGGAACCTACAATGCGCTAGACACTGAAGACTGGCTGTTCAGATGGAGAAGATGCTCCCAGTGGGAAGAAGAAACACGCCCCAGAACAGGTGGCTTGGAACGGAGGGAGCACAGCAATGGGGGAGCACAGATGCATGGCCTACACCCACTTTGGAGTCCAGATCCCACACTTCATTCACGTGCAACCTGGAATAATACTGCTTATCCCTCTCAGAATGCCTGTGTTCCGATCCTTATAAAGGAGAGGGGTATTATAATACCTCATTGTTATGTAGTACACAAATAATTGAAATCATGAGCAGACATGATGGGGAGAGTGGTGGTTGCCCTAAATATGCCACTGAGGGTGGACTACGAAATCTGAGGTGTTTTTCTATTGTGTATTTGGAGAACAGAGTGTGCTTTGTTAGAAATGCAGAGCCCTCCTCCCTCTTAAGGCACATACCATTTTCATCATTCTGGCCTTGGCCAAATGGGTTAAAACCCATCCAGCTTTCAAATTAATTTCTTTTTGTCTTTTTGAGTCAGGGTCTCCTTGTAGCCCCAGCTGGTCTTGGCCTGGAACTCATTATGTAGACCAGGCTGGCCTTGAACTCAGATCTGCCTGCCTCTGCCTCTTGAGTGTGGGATTACAGGCGTGTACCACCTTGCCCGGCTTTCAAATTACATTTTTTAACAAATTTAATTAATTAATTTCTATATGCATGAGTGTTTTGCTTGCATGTAAGTGCACCACTGTCTTGCAGTGTCTGTGGAGGCCAGAAGAGGGCGTCAGAACCCCCTGGAACTGGAGTTACAGATGGTTGTTAACCCCTAGGTGGATGCTGGGAACTGAACCTGGTCCTCTGGAAGAGTAGCTGCTGAGCCATCTCAGAAACTCACAGGTTTCACACAGACACACACAGGCACACACACACACACATGCAAACACACAGAACAACCCACATTGCATAAAACCGCATGTGTGGGATACATCTGTAATCTCACCCCTCAGGAGGTAGAGGTGGAAAGATTAGGAATTCAAGGCCAGTCCTGGCTACACAGCTAGTTTGAGGCTAGCCTGGCCTACAGGAGACCCACCTCAAATTTTTTTTTGTTTTTTTTTATGCACAGCTCATTTGGCTGGAAGTGGACCATGTTGGCCCTCTTTAGATAAGAAAAAAAAAAATATTGTGGA